GATCGATCTATCATCTACATATCATACCTCTATCTTTATCTATCTGTATTTCTGTATATCTCCACATCTATCTGTCTGTCTGTCTGTCTGACTGTCTATCATATCTATGTATCATACTTCTATATCTTTATGTCTCTGTCTCTATATATTTCTATATCTATCTATCTATCTATCTATCTATCTATCTATCTATCTGGTTTGTCGATTGCTTACAAGATAATAGGAATAAGTAAAAACACAGTTATGAGTACATGGATACATATAAGAAAAATAAAAAAAAAATAAAAGAAACAATGGGATCCCAGTGTGAAAATATTGTTTTATTTTTCCTTGCACCCCTTCCCTTCCTTCGATGCTCAGGTCGATTTTTTTCCCCCCCTCTCTCTCTTTCTTTTTTTCTCTCTCTCTTTCTCTCTCTTTTTTTGAAGCTCCTTCTTTGCTCGGATCGCACTTTGCAAAAAAGGAAAGGGGGGTACGAGAAGGGAAGAAAAGCCTCCTTTGAGCCTCGTGGGGATTCCTGGGAAATGTAGTTTTTCACGCGCGAGGAAGACTCTTCCCCCCCTCCCAAAAAAAAGAGATGGTGTCCGAGTCTTAACAGATAAACAGATAATCAGAGTTGGAAGGGACCTTATAGGTCATCTAGTCCATAAAACTACTTCTGTCCTTTTCCAAATTATTTAAGGGTAGGGAACGTGGCCCTTTTAATGACTTGAGGACTTCAACTTCCAGAATTCCTGAGCCAGCCATGACTCATCCTCTTCAACTCCTGGAAATCCCTAGCCAGCATGCTGGGGAATTCTGGGAGTTGAAGTCCGCAAGTCATAAAAGAGGCCATGGTTTGTTTGTTTTTTAAAGTTTTATTGTTTTTTAAGACAAACATAGATAAACAAAACATAAAAACATCAAGTCATCTTCCATATATATATGCATACAGTGTGTCAGTTGGTTTACAAACTGTTTTGTGCTTCCACGTCGTAGTCTTCAATTACAATTACTGTCGGCCTTCAAGATGTTCCTCCTTTGCTTTGCATCTTTCGGCTACCATAAGTAACGGTGGGGAGGAGGGGGGGGGATATGGTTATGGGAAGTGAGCTGGAGGTGTTACAAACCAGAACTGTATAAGCTGGGGTGTGGGGGTAGATTCTTGCTTAGGTTTCTATCCTATGCTGTGCGCAGCTGCAACTCTTTATCAAAATATGTCAAGGTCAACGGACAGAGGCCTCATCACCACATGGAGATGCCCACATGATGATATACACAACTTTTAATTGGAGGAGCCAATTGAACTATTGGGGGTGGGAACGGTTGCCATTACTTTGCATATGTGATTTACGCGCCCATTTTCTCAGCTTCAGAATTCTTTTGTTGCTACCACTTGATTTCCAGTAAAATATATCTTTTCTCTGATTAAAGGAGTCTAAGTATTTCTTTCTTACAACACAACTACAAATTATGTACAACAAAAAGACAAACAGGCCTTAGCATAGGCCAAGAGGGAAAGAGAGGAAGGCTTGAGAGGAAAGAGGGAAGAGTAAGGGAAGGGGAGGGTAGAATAGGGAAAACAATTAAAATAAAACCATATTTTTTGTGACTGTCTGTAAAATTCTTTCTTCCTCAAAAATATCGTCGGCGGTGCTTTTCTTTATCTCTGCTTAGGAAGCCCTCGGCCTTAATTTTCCTAGAAGTGGTCTATCTTTGATTTAGCCAATTATACCAAGGATTCCAATTGTTATAATAGGTTGAGGATTCTTTATTTTTTAATGATTGGGTTAGTTTGTCCATTTCGGCGCATTGTAAAATTTTCTGGATAACCATAAGTTCAGTGGGGATGGAAGGTAATATCCAGCACTGGGCGAATGCCAGTCTGGCCGCGGTTAGGATATGAATTGTAATATACTTCGATTTTTTGGATATTTGTTTATCAAAAATTCCTAGAAGGACGGACTCTGGTTTGTACTCAGTTTGTTCCTTGGTTATCTCCTCTAGCCAGTGCCTAATTTTTTGCCAATATTTCTCGGTTTCCTTGCATGACCTCTTTCTTGGATTTTGAATGGAGCACCAGCTGACATTATTCTGAATCTCCACATTACCAGCCCACCCGGAGAAATAATACATTTTCTTCCGAGGGGGTCTGAACACAATGCCAAATCCAGCCAGCGACCAAGAAGACCTGGGAGCACCTGGAGGACAAGATTCTCTGCTGCTAGAGGAAGCAGGGGAAGACGACTTGTTAGCAGAACTAAATCTTAACATGGTTTTTTATTTGATTTCTGAAAAATATTTTGGAATATGTGGGAAAAGACTGCTGTGTGTTGCAGAAAGGTTATGCGTTCATTCAATTTTGCGGGTTCAAATCCGGAACCACTGTGCGATCCTAAAATATTTAGTCTCCATAAACTTAACGGAATAACAGAGTTGGAAGTGACCTCGGAGGTCATCTAATCCAACCCCCTGCTCAACCAGGAATCCCTGTACCATTTTGGACAAATGGCTGCCCAGACTCTTCTTAAAAGCTTCCAGTGATGGAGGCACCCACAAGGCGAGCAGTTCCACTGGTTAATTGTCCTCACGGTTAGGACATATCTCCTTAGTTCTAGGTTCTCTCCTTGATTAGTTTCCACTCGTTGTTTCTTGCCTTGCCTTCTGGTGCTTTGGATAACAGATAGGCCCCCTCCCCCTCTTTGTGGCAGCCCCTAAAATATTGGAACGATGCTGTAATGTCTCCCCTTGATAGGCCCCTGCAACTACTACGTGCAACGATGAAAAAAAAATGACAAAAAATGACCTTGCATTGCAGATCCCCTCTCGCACTCGCCTCCCAGCATCAACATGTAAACCACAGGGTTTGAATTATGACATCACAAGGCATGTTTGATCATCCTTGCCCTCCCTGGACACCTGAAGTGTTTGGCCCAGGGTTGACAACTCTTAAATAATCTCTCTCTCTCTTTCCTAGAGAAGCTGTGATCTATTGGATCGTCCTTTCCGAGATTTTTCTTTTATCAGTTTCCTCAATGCCTTCAACAATGACAAGAGATTCTAAGGTACTCTCTTCACTTGGAATGTATCTGGGATACATTCACAGATGAAGGAATTGGGTAGGTCTACTCTAGTGAAAAGAAGGGCCGGGGAGACAGTGTTTGAGTAATTTGAGGCACTGCTACAAAGAAGAAGGGGTCAAGCTATTCTCCAAAGCACCTGAAGGCAGGAAAAGGAACAACAGATGGAAACTAAGCAAAGAGAGAAGCGACCTAAAAATAAGGAGAAATTTCCTGTTTGTGAGAACAATTAACAATTCGTTGTTCCAATATCTCAGGAGCTGCCACAAAGAAAAGCTAGTCAAGCTATTCTCCAAAGCACCAGAGGGCAGGACAAGAAGCAATGGATGGAAACTAATCAAGGAGAGAAGCAACTTAGAACTAAGGAGAAATTCCCTGACAGAACAATTTATCTGTGGAACAACTTGCCTCCAGAATAAGAACCCATCTGTAACTGTATGCCAGCCAAACATCAGCAGATAGGAAATGTTTTGTGACATTTGGTGTGATTTATATTTACATGCTGCCTGTATTATTTTTACAAATTATCTCAAGGTCTTGAATCAAACAGCACATTTGTGATCTAGTCCTATGTATATAGTGGCATTTTTTAAAAACTATTTAACTTGCTAAATGTTTTGGATAGGTTTTAGACTGGGTTTTTAATTATTATTATTATTAATTATTTTAATTTTTAAATACTTGTGTGATTGTGATGTGGTGTTTGGGGCACTGTGCTGGAGTGGCTTTCAAATTTCATTGTATTCGTGGACTGCAATGACAATGAAGGTAAATTCCAAATTCCAGTAAGGAACAATATTTTCCTCGCAACTACCATCCTGTGAGGTGGGCTAAGGTGGGACTTGAACTCAAGGCCTCCCACTTTCTAGTCCAATGTCTTAACCACTAGACCAAACCGGCCTACGCCATAAAATGTTTTAACAGTTTTGCAAAATCTCAATTCCACAGGTGCATTCTAAAAAGTTAGTCTGTCTGAGGTACCTCGATTCAAAAGGTTTTAGCCTGCAGTGCATCCTTTTGCCCACTTAAAGGTTACAGGAAACAGAGTTTTAGTTCATGTGTGTGTGTGTGTATGTGTGCGCATGCAGATGTGTGCGTGCATTAAGAAAAAAATGAAATCATTTTTTTAAACGTAGATCTTGAAATTTCACAAGATTTCTCATGAAATGTGAGCTCCTCATCCCTCCAAGTTCTGATGTGGTCTTCAGACTTCAAAGCTATGGACTTTTTCCTAAATTAAAAAAAATGGCTATTTTTTTTTTAAAAAACCAAACCTTGAGAGTAGTATTCCCTAAAAATCCAGTCTGATATTAAGTGGAGATATGTTATGCTCTTGTACAAATTCATATATATGATTTATAGATATATATGATATACTAGCTTAATACCCATGCTTCGCTACGAAACTATGTGATTGGGCTTAGTTTGGGGGGAGGAAAATAAGAGGGGAAAAATTCTGCCTCTGCCTACAAGATCCATTGGTATTCATCTGGTTAGTGTCCTGTCAGTGTGAGTTGAGGGCTGTTTGGAAACTGAAACGGTATTTGCTGTGTGAGCAAAGAGACAGCAAGGAGCCTGGCCGTGGCTTAGCTCAACTGTTCTGTACCTTTAGTTTCACTGCTTGGCCCTGTGAAACTGAAACTCCTCTGCTTGTGTTTTGCATTTAAAACATTTCTTTTCAGATGGGGAGGGGGAGTAGAACTCCTTAGCATCAGAGCGTGTTAATAATAATAATATAGGAAATACTAATGTTCTGATGGTCATTTCAAAAAATCCTTTCTTAGTGAGCACCTAGAAGCCAAGAGGAACATACGTGCCTAACTTCAAGTTTGTAGGCTTTATGGTTCTGGAGATTTTGCGATGCGTGAGTGGTATTTCGCTTTTATATATATACACACACATATATGATAGATGCTATATGATATGTATGTATATATGTATGCATGTATTATAGGTAGTGCTCGACTTACAACAACAGAGCCCAAAATTTATGCTGCTAAGGGAGACATTTGTTAAGTGAGTTTTGCCATTTTCTTGCCATGTTTGTTGAGTGAATCCCAGCAGTTGTTAAATGAATAACACTGTTATTAAATGAATCTCGTTTCTCCATTGCTTGTTGGAAGGTTCACGTGGGGATCACGTGACCCTGGGACACTGTGAGCATCATAAATGTGAGTCAGTTGCCAAGCATTGGAATGTGAATGATGTGACCATGAGTTGTAAGTGTGAAAAATGGTGATAAGTCACTTTCTTCAGTGCCTTGTAACTTTGAACGATCACTAAATGAACTGCAATGCTCACATTGCAGCCCTGGTCAAAAGGGCCCAGCAGAGGTTATATACCACCTGAGACTTCTCAGAAAACAACAACTGAATGAAAAACTGCTGACCACCTACCGCTGCACCATAGAGAGCATTTTAACTTACTGCACCTCTGTATGGTTTGCCAATTGCAGTGGCAGATAGGAAAGCCCTCCAGAGGGTTAATGTTATTGCCCAGGGGATCACGGGTTGCCCTCTCCCCTCTTTGGAAGAGCTTTATAGCTCCCGCTGCCTTAAGAAAGTTCAAAACATTCCCAAAGATCCATCTCATCCCGGGAACCCTTTTTTGAGCTATTACCATCTGGCAGACGGTACAGAATAATAAAAACAAGGACAAATTGGCTGAAAAACAGCTTCTGTCCCAGGGCAGTAACTCTACTGAATTCTGCTGTATAGTGTAGTGTTGTTGTGGTGTCAGGGGTTTTAGATTCAATGTGTGGAGGGTGAAGGATGTGTGTTTGTGTTTATTTTCATGGTCATGATGTACACTGAAGATGGTGTTTGATTTCGTTGTACGAGGTGCAATGACAATAAAGTAAAGTTGTAAATTGAGGACTACCTATATTTCACTACTTCGCCACACCAATGAATATTTCTTTGCCCGGAGGGTGGTGGTGGGGAAATGCCATCACAACAATCGGACTCTTGAAGAAAGCAAGAATATGAGAGACAGTTTTCCTCTTTCTGTTGCAAAAATTCCTGCCCTTGACACATGAAAGACAGGTTGCTTCTGATCCAATGTTCTTATTAGGTTTATTATTCTAATCAGCTTCTGCGAAGAGTAACACATTTCTACCTTCCCTCTCCATCGACAAAGATTGTGCCCGTCACTTACTTGCCACAGAGAACCAAAGAGAAACTAAATGCCTGAGAATATTTTCTCAGCAGGAAAGCAGAAATGCAGAGTGTGAAAACAAGCATCAGGTTAATGATGATTAAGGAAACTGAACAGATTCACTTCTTTCCAAAGGGATGTTTGCTATACATATTGGGTGGCTGGATTAAGAAAACGGCCGAGTAAAAAAGTCATTCAGTTCCTCCTACTTAGAGCAGCCAAATCGGTCAATACTAAAGAATAAAAATGTCTAGGTGATATTTCAGAGGAAAGGTTTCCGCTTGCCGAAGTACCCACCACTTCATGTTGCCAAGGTTTAAAGCAACACCGCCAGCACAGCACCTGGGAAAGAGTTTGAAACCTGACATTATAGGCCTGTTAAAATGGCACCAGCGGCACTCTATGTGAACGTTTGAAATTCTCACGGGAATTCCAATTTTTAAAAAGTATTAAAAAGTGTTCATATGCGAACCCGGATGAACACGATGAAAGCAGTGTTGTAGCATTGCTGACCAACCACTGTCCCTTTCTTAGGTGTGTATATCCTTGGCACATTTACTAAAGGGGTGGAGCTTATGTCACACGTGCTTTCATCATTTTCCTCTCCACAACATACACTATGGATGATGCCTAGGAGTAACATAAAAACTTGAGCATTTCATTGGAAAGAGCTACAATGCAAATAGAACGCCAGGGTTACCTACAACCGGTTATACATTGCAGTCACTCAAAAACTTGCCAATTCTTTTATACGGCTACCGTATTCTGGGACACCGGTAGTCTGCGTTTAGCCCAGCAGCTGTTAAGCGAAGCAGTCACTAAGTGAGAAATCACAGGACTTGTCACTGGGCTTCCCTTTTCTCTATTTTCCCAATCCTCTGGAATGCCAAGCCTGGCCCTGGGATAATAAGCAAAAAGGGAATTAACACGTAATATTTACATTTATTGGAGAGAAAGGGATTGCAAGAGGGTAAACAAGCACACAATAGGGAATAGACATTGAAATCAACGTCTTGGTTCTGGCTAAGTAAGCATCCCAAAGTATTCCCCATTGGGTGCTCTGCTTACTCTCTTGTAATTTCCTCATTTCTCCGATCTGTGAGGCGGGGGGGCAGGAAAGAAGGTTTTCTGTAGGCAAGCTCTCCTATGCCTGACCTGTTTTCTCCCTGCCCTGTTTACACAGTGGAGTTTGAAGAGGAAGGGATTACAAGAGAGTAAGCGGGTACATAATGGAGAATACACCTGCTGCTATTGCCACTACATTGCTTTTAATGTGTATTCCCCATCATGTGCTCGCTTACTCTCTTGTCATCTTCTTCAATCTCTCCAATCTGCAAGAAAAAAGAGGGGAAAAAAAAAGGAAAAAGGAAAAACAACAGGTCAGGCCCAGGACAAAGTATACTGACTGTAAAAGACCGATCACGTAACCGAGGAACTCTATGGAGGTCGTTAAGGGCAGGCATTAGTTGTAAAGTTAGCTTTTCAGCACTGATGTGACTTTAACTGGTCACTGAATGAAGCAGCCAGTAAACGAGGACTGCCCACACAATTGAGACGTTCTTTCACTGTCTTTGGGAATCTTCAAATCAGCCGTTGTTTCGCGGGGCTCAGCCATTTTGCCAAGGCAGCTGACAGTTTCATCTTTGTATTCAGTGTTATTTTTGTGGCCCAAAGTCCCCCCCCCCCCCGCCACAAACCGAGTTTCAGGAGAAGCTGTTTTAAAGCACAGTCAAGTCTATTTCAGATCTTAATTTGAGCGTTTCTTCTGCAAAATGGCAACCCACCCCTTGTGACCTGAGGCTGCGGGTCACGCATTCCTGGTGGTTTTAAGTGCTCAGTGCTGTGAACTACAAGGAATCGAAGTTGTGCGGACACCAAAGAGGGGAGCTCCTGAGGAGAAGCCGATTTCCGGACTCGAGGGCGAAAGAGGGCCCATCCTATTACAGCGGCCGCCACTACTGGGTGGACTGAGAAAGGTAAGCCGATGGCTTCTCTCGCGCATGCTTTCTCACAAAGTGCTTGACCACGTGTGCCCGCTGGGTGAAGTTCTTCCGGCAGATGGCACACTTGTAAGGCTTCTCTCCCGTGTGCATCCTCTGGTGCACCAACAGGCCCGAGGAATGCCGGAAGTGCTTCCCACACTCGGAGCACTGATACGGCTTTTGCTCGGTGTGGATCACAATGTGGGTTAGAAGCGTCGTCTTCTGGTTGAAGCTTCTCCCGCAGTCGGAGCACTGATACGGCTTCTCTCCCGTGTGGATTCTCTTGTGTCGGTTCACACTCGACTGCGTGGCAAAGACCTTCCCACAAATCGGGCAGGGACTCCCCTGCCTTCCCTTATACAACGCCGGCGAGCTGTTCATTTTATCGAGGTCGTTGTACGGGTTGATCAGGGCTACATTTTTTTCTTCGGCCATCTCGCCGTCCACCTGTTTCTCATGGTCTTCTAGAGGGCCAAAGACCCCATCTTTCCACTCCCCTTTCAACTGCCCTGCGGTGATCTCCTTCTTCTGCCCATTGAACAACCGCCCCAATTCTAATCTTTGCCTGAAGCTCTTCTTACAAGAAATACACTTGTACACCTTCTCTCCGGTGTGGTCTATCTGGTAGGCGTTGACGCCCCACTTTGGCTTGAAGTTTTTCCCACAGTCCGAACACTGATACGACTTGTCTCTGGCGTGGACCATCTCGTGGGAGAGCAGGTTGGTCTTTCGATTGAAGCTTTTCCCGCAGTGAGCACATTTGTAGGGCTTCTCTCCGGTATGAATAATGAGGTGTCTATTCAGGCTTGATTTTCGGGTGAAGGCTCTCCCACAAAGGAGGCAGCTGTGCCGTGGCCCGTCTTTGTGCTGTCTTGGGGGGACAGTGAACCGCCAGAGGTTGACCCCGTCTAGCTCACTAACAGGTGCCTCTTCTGAATTCTGCATTTCGTTTTCTTCGGGATAGTCGATGACCACATCTTCGATCTCTGACTTGTCAAAAGTATCTGTCTGATCTTCCTCGATAGACTGATACACCTCTTGGTCGCTTTCTAGAATGAAGGGGCGGGTGGGAAATGTACAATGTTATAATACTGTTTTATGTTATTGTTGAAAAACACAAGTAATACACCATATTGTTTGGTGGCAATAATACAGTAGAACCTCTGGTCGCAAACGCTTCCGTTCACGACCAAATTGGGTGACGGCCAACTTTTTTTTAACCTCTTGACACAAACAGGTGCTCGGGTGGCGAACAAAGCCGCCGCAATTTGCCCTTCCACTCCGAGTCATTTTTTTTTTAAAGCGCATGCGCTTCCGGTGACAACCAAATTGGTTGGCGACCGAATTCTCGGAACGGATTAGGGTCGTCACTGGAGGTTCTCCTGTATTTATACAGATCATGAACGTTCTGATGATTTGGCTAACTTAAGCCTTTAAAGATAAAAAAGGGTTTATGCCAGGGGTTTCAAACTCAGTCAAAAGGTCCTTAGATCTGGCCTGCGGGGCCGCTCTCGAAACAACAGTGAAAGACCGGCCCACGGTGCCTCTGCCAGCGAAAACAGAGCTTGGAAGGGCTGCATGCATTTTTGGCTGTGACGGCCTTCCTGCAGCCAACGGAACTCTGTTTTCCCTAGCAGAGCCCTCAGGCCACCACATGGGACCCCCGATATGAGTGACGTCAAGCTGGCCATACCCACCTCCACGCCCACAATGAAGTAAGTCAAGGACTACTTGTAATATTGACATAAGCCAGGGGTGTCAAATTTGATTTCACTGAGGGCCGCACCAGGGTTGTGTTTTACCTCAGGTGGGTGAGCCACCTGAGGTAAAACACAACCCTGGTGCGGCCCTCAATGAAATCAAGTTTGACACCCCTGGTTTATGTCAATATTACAAGTAGTTCTTGACTTGCTTCATTTAGTGACTGTTCAAAGTTACGGCAGCACTGACAAAGGTGACTTGTGGCCGTTTTCCCACAGTTACGACCTTTGCTAGCAACCCCTGAATCTTGTGATCCAAATTCAGATGCTTGGCAACTGGTTCACATTTATGACAGTTGAAGTGTCTGTGGGGTGTGTGTATCATGTGATTCCCTTTTGCGACCTTCTGACAAGCACAGTCAACGGGGGAAACCAGATTCACTTAACGACCATGTCACTCACTTATCAACTGCAGTGATTCACTTAACAATGGTGGGACAAGAAAGGTCGTAAAATGGGGCAAGAAAGCTCACTTAACAAATGTCTCACTTAACAACAGATATTTGGGGGCTCCATTGTGGTCGTAAAGTCAGGGACTACCTGTATTATAATTCCTAAAATGTTAATGTTTGTAAGCATAAGTTTGACTATGCAGAGCTGAACATATACACTGAATAACTTAGCTATTCCAGTGTTTCTCAACCTTCGGAACTTTCCAGATGTGTGGATTTCAACTTCCCACACTGGCAATGGGGAATTCTGGGAGTTGAAGTCCACACGTCACAAATCTTGGAAAGGCTGAGAAAAACTACACGAAACAATGTCAATATTTAAATAAATAGCATGAATAAAGCACATATGCAAACAGACACACAGGCAGGGATGGGATTCAACTGGTATTACTATCAGTTCCGGGACTACATTTTGCGCGTGCAAAAAAACCATCGGTTGTGCCACCCGGACAGCTGAAAATCCTCTTTTTCCCTGCTTTTTCAATCTCAGTTGTGCCGCACAAAGCAGCTGAGGTTGAAAAAGCAGGAAATAAAGGACAGATAGGAGCCCAGGCAGGCGGGTGGGCCAAACAGCAGCAAACACAGAACCGGTTTGGTGTATGCTGCTCTTCAGAGCTACCGGTTCTTTAGAACCGGCCAGAAGCGGTAGCGTCCCCCCCCTGCACACAGGGCAAACCCAAAACGTGAGTCACACCCCTATAAGTGGCTCCCTCAGCCATGATCTCTGACGCCTAGAAAGATTTAAAAATAAAAAATAAAAAAAAGAGGAAAATGGAAAGGTTAACCCTTTTGCCCTAACTGCATAGGCTAACATGTATTATGTCAACCCTGAAGTGAACCTTGCTGGAGCCATCTTTTTGCTGCTTCATGGTTGCCCCAAGGCAGAAGGGAGAGAGGAAGTAGATAGCCTGGCTTGGCCGTCAGAAAGTTTTCCTGTGGGAACCAAGGTCACTTCATCGGGTGGCTGAGACAGGGGGAGTGGAGTAACCAAGCAACCAGCCAGCAACCCATTGGATAATGTGACTGACTGGGGATGGGGGGGAACTTTTTAGTTTTTAATTAAGTGAAAACAGCGGGAAATTTTAAAGTCAGTCTTCACCAGTTGAATCAATGAGGGATGCGGTGGCTCATTGGCTAAGACACTGTGCTTGTCGATCAGAAAGGTTGGCAGTTTGGCGGTTCGAATCCTTAGCACTGTGTAACAGAGTGAGCTCCTGTCACTTGTCCCAGCTTCTGCCAACCTAGCAGTTCGAAAGCATGTAAAAATGCAAGTAGAAAAATAGGGACCACTTTGGTGGGAAGGTAACAGCCACCTGAGGTAAAAGCCACCTGAGGTAACAGCGTTCCGTGTGTCTTCGGCGTTTAGTCATGCTGGGCACATGACAACGGAGACATCTTTGGCTCTTCAGCTTTGTAACGGAGATGAGCACCGCCCCCTAGAGCCGGGAACGACTAGGACGTATGTGCGAGGGGAACTTTTACCTTAACAATAAGGTAGATCCAATAAACCTGTTCTTTGAGGAATCTGCCTGCCTCGGAGTTCGATGGGTCCATTACTTGGAACACTGACATACTGGATTGACAATCACAAAAAATCCGGGAATTGAAAGCCAACAATCAAGCACAGTTAAACAGAACACACGTTCCAATCACTACTCTAAAAAGGATTCTAAAAAGTATTTGGTCTTCTTAACCTAGAATCCAGAGCTGAAGAAACAGAAAATGCTGACCTAATAAGGAAGCGTCTTCGTTTCCCTCCAGTTTCATCTCTTTATAGGGAGGTCTCTCTGGGGTCCCCACCGAAGGCTCTCCAGAATCACAGAATTCTCCAGCCGGTTCATCAGCTGGACTTGGGATCTAAAGGAAGGGAAAGAAAGAAAGAAAAAAGACAGAAGATTAGAATTTGAGAGTTGGGATTATTACACCTTTTTTTTTTTTGACAGAGAACGGTCGAAACCAACCACAAAGGAGTTAATTGTATTTTTACCCTTGATTGCAAAATTAAGAATTGCTCAAAAGTGGAAATTTTCAGACAATCTATCCTCAGATAATTGGCATGCTGAGGTAAGTTCTAACTGCTAAAATTCAAATCCAGACTAATTTTTATCAGATGTTACTACAGATGCTATAACGGCTAATTGATAACTAACAACAATAACTTCTCTTTTGATAAATTTAGTGCTATTTGAAAGCTATTGTTGAATGTTGAGATATACAGTATTGCTCAAGGGCGTTTTTCTTGTATTCTGGTTTCTTCTTGCCTTAAAGGTAAAGGTTCCCCTCGCGCATGCATGCTAGTTGTTTCCGGCTCTAGGGGGCGGTGCTCATCTCCGTTACAAAGCTGAAGAGCCAGCGCTGTCCGAAGACGTCTCCGTGGTCATGTGGCCGGCATGAATAAAGGTTCAAAGGGGCACAGAACGCTGTTGCCTTCCCACCAAAGGGGTCCCTATTTTTCTACTTGCATTTTTTTACGTGCTTTCGAATGGCTAGGTTGGCAGAAGCTGGGACAAGTAACGGGAGCTCGCTCTGTTATGCGGCGCTAGGGATTTGAACCGCCGAACTGCCGACTTTTCCGATCGACAAGCTCAAGAGTGTCAGGGCTCCAACAAATCCCCGTCATTCAAAGCAAAAGTCTAGCCGCATCTCAGGAAAAATAAATTGGTTTATTAGAACTTGCCATGTTGGTGCGTTGCTGGGTGCACCTGGTACTAAATCACATTATACATTTCCCCTTTGACCCTGGTCTTTCCCCCACCCGCTGGATGTGACTCCTCCAATGGGACACATCCGTCTCCAAGAGTCATCCATCATGTTCTCCAATAACCTTCTTATGCTCCGACAACTTTGGGCCGCTGAGGTGATTATCTAGGCATTTCAAGAATGCCTTGTTTTCCCACAATCACTTTTTCTGGCAACTAGAAAAACCAAAAGAGCATCTTTTGAGTTGACACAGAGTCTTAAGTCACTGAGCCATCGAGTCCCCTTCTTGCCTTAAAGAATATTAAACATGAACAACCAGATTAAAAACAACTCTAGCATTAGAAAGAACCTTAGGGGTCATTGTGGGGGTACCTCAACTTTGACCTTGGATGGGTCACACTTTCCCATTCAAGAATGATGCATAAATTTATTTATTTATTTATTTTTTGGGGGGGGGAATCTTCCTGGACTCACAACTCCTATTTGAAGGGCAGGTGGGAGCCCTGATCAGGACGTCCATTCCCAAGCATCCCAATGTAAATCACGTGACCGTGGGGATGCTACTTAGGTCATAAGTGTGAAAAACGGCCGTAAGTCACTTTTTCAATGTTTTTGTCACTCTGAACGGCCACTAAATGGAGTGTTGTACATCGAGGGCTACCTGTCCTCTCACCTGTTCTTCCGGCCGCTCCGTCTCTTGCTGCTTTATCAAGAACTCCTCCGCCAGAGCTACTGCCAGCGAACAGGTCTCCGCTCCGTATCCCCGAATTCTTCTCTGGATCTCCAGAGGCAGGATCTCCAGGAACTGCTCGAGGATCACCAGCTCCAGGATCTGGTCTTTGGTGCGTTTCTCTGGTTGCAGCCACCCCCAGCAGAATTTCTTCAGCCATCTGCAAGCCATTCGGGGTCCTTCGGACGGTTGGTAGCAGAACCTCCTGAAATGCTGGCGATGGGCTTCCTCGGAATCGGGGTGTTCATCCTGCTTGAAGGAGGGCGGGACGGTGATGATCCTTCTCCCACGGAGATCCTGGTGTCTTTCCGAGGAGTCCATGTTCCCCCACATGGAGCAAGAGGACTCGGCTTCCTTGAGGAAATTCTGCCACCGGTCCTCCCAAGAATTCACCTGTCCTTCTTCCGGTTCCATTTTAACCTGCGACGGCATCGCTACAGGCAAATCCTCTCCCACAATGCCGGTCACCACAAGCTGGAGGCTCCCCTCAGATTCAGCAGTGGGGCTGCCCGCAGCTTCCTTTTCCGTTTTCATCCTTGGGGTATGCCTGGGATCACACACACACACACACGCACAAAGACACACAAATAAATAAAGTCAGTTGACATTCATCAATGGATAATTATCAGGGACAATTGCTATCGCTTACCAAAATGGGGCATCTGTCAGGATTCCAGCAATCGCCCTAATGAAATCATATGATTCTCGAGCCAAACTTCAAAAGGATTCATTAGCGGTGGCATACTGGCACTGCCCTGTGTGAAGCCAACTCTGGCATACGAAATGTACAGTCCCCGGTCACTCTGTTTCCCCTCTCCCTCCCTGGGTGTCTCATAAACCAGATTCTCCAATTGAGCACGTTCATGGGCTGGGTGTCATCATTCATGTTCTCCAATTAAATATATTCATGGGCAAAAGCTCTGGTATTTTAGTTACAATCTTTTAAAGATAAGAGTTGGAATGTACTTTTGCTTTCAAACTGCTGCACTCCTCTTCCAGATCCCGCCCCCTTTTTTATGGCAACTACTAAAACAGGCATAGGAACGTTTTATGAGTTGACTGTATCTTCCCCTCAGTGTGACCGTAGATCGCATTGACTGGCTGTAGGCTGAGGGCCCATGCGAGTCCAGGACAAGTAGGCCTCGACTTACAACATGTCATGCCCCTGTTGGAGACTGACTCTGAGGGAGGAACAGCCGACAGGGAGTGGAGGTGTAGCTCTGGAGGTTGGCTCCGGAGGAGGCTGGGGAAGGGCAGAGGCCGGCTGGGCAGTCAGAGGAAGACCCAGGTCCACCCCCTCTTCATCCTAGGGCACGTAGGGAGGAACGGAGAAGGGAACAACGTGGCTTATGGGAGAGGAAGCGGCCAAGATCCCCTTCATTGGGGGAATAGTATATAGGAGGGGCATTTAAAACACAGCGTTGCTAGAAGCAAAGCTGAGGTTTATCCTGATTGGCATTCTTCCAATGGACTGTGCCTTGTTATCTTCTTGTAATTTTTGTAATTAATTATCTTGGTCTGTTGTGGAAATTCCTTGTATGGGTTTGTTTTGGTTTTTTATTTCTCCTTTATCTGCTCATTAAGTTTGGACTGTATTTCTTACTTTTGGAGACTGTTTTGGAAAGAGTTTAATCTCCAACCAAGAACAACTGAACAGTTGGGCCAAGCTGGATACATTAAAGGACATTTATTTACGTTTGTGAATGTGTTACGTGTGTGCTGCTTCCCAGGTCATCACACAACAGTTTCATTTGGTGATCGTTCAAAGTTATGATGACACTGAAAAAAAGGGACTTACTTATCACTGTTTTTCACACTTACAACCACTGCAGTATCCCCATGGACACATGATCAAAATTCAGAGGGTTGGCAATATTTATGAGGGTTGCATGTCCTCGGGTTACGGGATCTCCTTTTGCGACCTTCTGACCAGCCAAGTCAATGGGGGAAGCTAGATTCGTTTAACAACCGTGTTACTCACTTAACAACTGCAGTGATTCACTTAACCACAGGGACAAGAAAGTTCGTAAAATGGGATACATTTTACTTCACCAATATTTCACTTAGCCACTTAGAAATTTTGGGATGAATTGTGGTCATAAGTCGAGCACTACCTGTATCTGATTGTTTTGATCTTGTTGTGGTTAGCCGGCAGCAGGTACGGATGGCTGAGGAGAGCGAGGACTCAGATGAGGGGCCAGGACCATTAGGGAGTGGACTGCTGCCTTCAGAGATTGTAGGGGCTGGCAACAGCGATGAGGAGGTTCCCGAGGAGCCTTTGCCAAGTGCGTGTGCGTGCAGGATTGCTAGGAAGAAAAAGCAGCTACAATAGCACAGGTGACTCAGGAGTAAGGCTACAAGGTAATGGCCCCTCCTTCAAGAAGATAAAAGCCAGCTGTGAAGCGAACATACTTTGCAGAAGGCAAAGACGTTTTGAAACTCCAGCCTCTTGGACATTCCAGTATCCTGAGTTTGTATTTGAAGATTCTTGTATTGCAAATTATTTCTTGTCTGTTATCTTTTGGCAAGTCTCGCGCATTTTGGCAAGACTTGTGCTTATCACAGCTAATTATTTTGTAAAAGCATTACAAGGTTTCTGTTCCTTTCGGATTGTGTTTGATTTGTTGGAAAAAGGCGTGGGTCAGAACAGATATAAACAATGCTGAACCTGCTTTTGGATAAAAAGAATTCCAGCTCTCCCATTCAAAAAAAAAAAAACCCAACCATTAACTGGGTTACACACTGTGCTAAATCAAATGTTACACCTTCTGTTTTGACCAAGATCATCGGATGAACCCAGCTGATGGTGGTTCATTCGATAAACCACGATGGAGCAAATGTAAGCTTATTGCTACCCCTTAGCTCAATGTTTCTCGACCGCAACAACTTTTAAGATCTGTGGCCTTAGCTGGCTGGGAAATTCTGGGAATTGGAAGGGCGAAGCGCCTTAAAATTGGCCGAGTTTGAGAAAAATGGTATGCGGAAACTGGGTGCCCACAGCACATTCTTTGAGGAGTCTAGGTGCAGCTGTTGGCAGTTGAAGCACCACATCTGGAAGATCAAGGACTTCTCACCACTGTTGTCACTATTTTACCATTTTCTCCTTTCTCTAGTGAGAAGAAAGGAAACAACGCAAATTGTTGGGAAAAATGTTGGAAGGGAAGGTGTTAACAAAGAGCTGAGAGAGTTAGGTTCAACTTTAATCCACATCCTGGTGGGCTGGTGGTGGGATTATGAGCCCATCATGGGCTGTGTTGGGGAGGGAGTGGGGGAGGAGAGGACTTAAATGCCTGTTTTGTCATAGCTTGTAAGCCATCCTTGATGGTTTCTTAGGTGATGCAAATACAGTCACTCTGGCTCAGACCAACCTACTTCATACAATAATAGCTGTGGAATTTTCTATCCTCAACCAAGGAAGAGAGGGAGGGAGGGAGGCAGGGAAGGAGGGA